CCAAGTCAGAGCAGCCCCAGCAGGGAGGGGGCCCAGGGGTCAGCCTTCCAGTCCAGGGCTGCTCCAACCAAGGCTCAATGTGCTGTGGAGGGGCTGGCTGGGGCACAAGGGTGCTTCACTGCAGGGCTAGCTGGCAGCCAACCCCTGCATTGAAGCACCTTCATGCCCCAGCCAGCTGGGTCAGTGTCTACATGCGCATTACAGTGCACAAAAAAACTTCACAGCAGAGTAGTACTTGTATGTACAAGCACTATCCTGCTGCAGAGTTTATTAGTTTTGTGTGCCCTAATGGGACTGCACATGTAGACACCAAAACATTTACTACATAGTTAATTAGTGAGCTGTGCAGTAAACATCTCATGTAGACTTTCCCATGGTGGAGTTAAGTGACTTCAGTTGCCTTTGGTTTCACATATAGAGGCCCAAAATACAATCCCTGCTGGCAGTGCAATCAAAGATGGTATTGCTTTAATAAAACAATAAGGACCAAGGAGCCAATGTGGAAGTAAACCAAAAGAATGAGTCCTGCTTAGATTAGCTAACAATTTCTGGAATTGCCTAAGTGCTGATTCATGGTGTACTTATGACATCACCTTTATTTAACTCTGCCAACATCACACAGTTGCCTTTGAGGATGCTGGAAGGTAGAACAATCACTAGCAGACCTGGGAATAAGATCTAGGAGCCTTGCAACTCAGAACCTACTCTAAGTACTGCACCATGCCACCCTGTTCTGCAACTACTTGGTAATAGTTAGCAAGGTCAGCATGGTTGTACAGCACAGAGGCAACTCTTCATTTAACTAATAAGAAGGGCCCAGCCGGGGTGGTATCAGAGGCGAGATATGAATTCCATACCTGTTGTGAAACCAAACATGGGTGCCCCAAAGGGCCACATTCTGTTCCTGGTTTCATGAGCATAAATAAAAAATAACTGCAAGAGTTTAGGAGGGTAATTTAGGAAAGTGTGAGTCAGTACTGACAGCAACAGTGTTAATCAGCCTTGATAACAGCAACACAACCCACAAACCAGCTCCATCAATCCACTGTAAAATCTCTGTTTGTACAGAAAAAAGAATGGAAAAGAAAAGCAACAACAAATCCAATACATATACCTTATTTGTAAATCTGGGCTCACAGAAGCTTCTGTTCTGATTAAAACTGACTAGACTTAAGAATCCAGGGCGCTGAAAGCTATGGAAACTGTTAGAAACAATATCCCCCATAAACAACACAGCCCTTCTTCAAATGACTTAGAGGCTGATGGATTTTAAGGCCTAATTTGAAGTATATTTCAAAGCATAAATTCTGTGTGGCTTTTAAGCTCGCCTATGTCTCCCGCTATGATCCGGAAGTCTTGACAGCTTTCAGAAGTTTTCTGTTTCATTTTTAAAAGGCTTTGCACTTCACCTTTAAACTAGTTCACATAGTTCATGCTGCATGGACATGTAAAAAGATACCCATCCTCTTTGATTGATGAGTTTCTTCAGTACATCAGCAGAGATTAAAGTGCATGGCTAAACCTCCCCTTTTAACTTGGCATAATTCATTTTCACATCATATCATCCTTCTCCAGGGCTGGATATTTACATATTAATATATTTTTTTTATTCCTCCTCTCCCACCCCAGCTTCAAATATTAAAAAGTGTCGATAGATAAGATTCTGCACTCAAATTAGGAGCAGCAGTAGCAGGGAAGTACATATCCAACCATTCAATTAAAATACAAAGACAGCTCTGTTTACTGTCTTCCCCTGTCACAAAGACTCCTGCCCTGCTTCCCCTTCCCCACACCAAACTCCCTGCTCTTATTCTGTGGGGGCAAGAGTGTGTCTGGTTGCTTTCCCTAAAAGCAATGAAATACTTTGGAAACGTGTCTGAATGTAGTGACAAGCTCTCTCTCCTGATGATTTGGAATCTATATGATCGGTAAGAGTGGGATTAGAACAGCAGGAAAAGCAGTCAGATATGGGTAAGCTATTTGAATTATCAGTAAATCCAGTCAATAAGCTGAAGTGAGAGGAGAATTAAAAGGCTGGATGTACAACTTCAGGTCTTTTCCAACTGATTTACATGGGAAATTGCAATTCATCTCTTTTACAGAGGGGATCCAGCTCTTGCTGACATACGTGAGTGACAGGTTTAAATTGACAGTGGGACTGGGATCAGGTTCACAGGGCACATCTACACGTGCATGTTGCTGCAGTTGCCTAATTAGCTCCTCAATAAAACACACAGACACTGCCAGGCACAAGTACTATTCTACAGCGGAGTTAATTACACTGCTGCAGTGCATGTGTAGACAAAGACTGGCCGGCAGGGGTGTGAGGGGAGGGTGTTATAGTGCAGGAGCTGACTGCTGGCTAGCCCTGCACTATAGCACCCTCATGCCCCTGTCAGCCCCTCCACAGCACTTTGACCCAGACCCCCAACAGCTGGGGCTGTGCTGCCCCAGCTCAACATGCTGCAGTCCCAGGCACACGTGAAGATGTTGAGCCCAGGAGCAATAAACTCTGGTGTGAGCTACGCCAGAGTTTATTCAGGAACATTAACAGAATGTATGGATGCACCCACAGTGTCTGAAAACAGTAACAGAAACATCCTTTTATCTTTCCTTCTTTATTACATGGCACCCATTGCCAGATCTCCTGATTTTATCCTAAGTCTTGCAACATTTGAAGTTGTTCTGAAGGCACCAGCACCATGGTTGCAGAGTGGAAACACTCAGAAAGTAGCAGCCAGAGAAAAAGGACCCAAAAGTAATAAAAGAGAAAAAGAAATCTCACATGCACACATGGAATCTCATGATTTTGAGTCACCCCCTCACTTTTGAAAGCTTGGGCTCAGTTTAGCACAGTGTTTCCCAACTTTTGGACTTGAGGCACCCTTTACTGGACTCGAGACATCCCTCATTGGACTCGAGACATTCCTCCATAACTTTAGGGAATTATATGGCACCCAAAAATATAAAATAATTTATATATTAAGTACTGTAGTGTTTACCTCCTTACACAGGAGCTGGGCAGAAGGGATAGGGGATCATCCAGACAACGATAAGACCGAGCCTGGCTTATCTGCTTAGCTTATCTGCTTATCTCCTCACATGTCATTTATCCCCTCACATCTCATGGCACACTTCAAAAAATCTGGAGGCACCCCAGGGTGCCCTGGCACCCTGATAGAGAATTACAGGTTTAGCAACATGAGTTTCCCCTAACTGTAGAAGTCGGCCTGCAGCTATTTCAACAAACTGACAAGTCCTTGGGCATTCTGACAAAAAACCTCAAACATATGTTGACAGCAGCAGCACTGACAGTGCTGTGCCCTGAAGGAGTAGTATGCTGGAGGGATGTCAACTGTCTGGAATAGCTGTATCAGTTTTCCTTGCCATCTGACACACCACAAAGCTGTCTGACAGAACCACAAAGGCTCTACCAACGTCTGTGGCTGCAGCAGTGTGGTCTGGGACTTCCGACTCCTGTAGAGTAACATGCAGATGCGATGAACTACAGTGTGGGTTGGCAGCAGCTGGAGAAGACTATCTGGCTACTTGTGGAGAAACCCTGATAAAATAATCTCCATTCCAGCTGCCTGGGACTAAGTCTCATAGTACTCACACCCCAGACAGCCTTTCAGGGCTTTTGCAAAACAGAACAAATGTTATAAGCACAGACCATAGCTTGGCTATCAGGCCTTCTAAACAGTGTAGATAGGGCCTAAGGAAGGGATATAGAAACTCCTGTTCCTTCCAGACCTCTCTCAGTCTTGCTAAATCTGGACATTCAAAATCATCAGCTGGGATCCCAAAAACCACGAGACTGCTTTAAAAAAAAACAAACAAAATACGGTATTTATTGGCCTTGTGATGTCAATGCCTTTACAGTGCACTAGAGTCATGGTCTCATGTTTTTCTCCACATTTCCATGTGCTAGAAGTGCAATGTCAGCAAAATTAATAAGAATAACTATCTCTTGTCTGGCACGTTTCATGTCAGTATCCTCCTTTCACAGAGCAGCAAAGTAAACTACACGTTGTCACTCAGCAGGCCAGTGGTTGAACTGAGGATAGAACCAGGTCATCAAAATACCAGCCCATTGTCCTATCCTCTGAACCAGTGGTGCCAACCTTTTTGGCAGACATGCCACGAATTAGTCACACACCCTCCCCAAATGCCATTCTGATACTGATCTGCTGCTCAGCTTTCTGCTTCCTGCCCTGTGCTCCCTACCTGAACTAATGCTCTGCTTTCTGCTCTATCTGTCACTGTGCTGCCTGTACCGCTCCCCAATCTGCTGCATGCCACACACACAAGCTTCCCATACTATTTGTGGTACCTGTACACCAGGTTGGCCACCCTTGTAAAACCACACTGACAAAAAAAATGGTACGTAATAGCATGACTTGAGAAGATGGGGATTAAAATTAAACATCAAATATTCTGAGACTGAAACTAAAACAATTTAGAGGAGCTGGCAACAGTAAAGCTACCCCAAAGGTCACCCTGCAGTTTTGACTCAGGCAAAACACCTGCTGAAGATAACAGAAGCTTTTTTTGCATAAGCACTACAGGCTTGAGTCCTAAATTGGTCCAAGCAGAAAGGAATGTTGTCAGAAGTCCCAAAGTTTTAAGTTGGGCATCTGGCCTAGAGGTGGAGAACAGAGATTAGTATACAATCTCCATGGCAAAAGGAAAGATAAGGAGGTGTCAGAGACTAGATAATTAAAAAGCATTGAAAATTAACAATTACCACCACCAGTACTCAGCTTCTTTCATTGTTAATTGTACATACTTCAGAGAAGGAAAAAACGTCCCCTTTCTTCCCCCAACATCCCAAAAAGTTGGATTTAAAAAAGCTTTAGACAAAGAGTTTTTATCTAGGCATCTCAGTGATTTGATACTGTTATGCATATCCTAGTATCACAAGAATATGTTTTACCTTGAGGCAAATGTTTTAATTTATGTGCATGTGAGCTATTTGCAATACCTCCACCAAACGGAGCCCATATGACCCGTCGGATGGCTTTCACCCAATCTTCCATTTCGTTCTGGGAATTAGCCATGAGCAGAAAAGCCTCGTGATTGACAGGCATCTTTTCCCGGTCCCCAGAACCACCTGAAAAACAAAACACACACCTCAGTTAGCATCTAGCTTATAAGTGACCACTGCTGGCCCCGAGAAACCCAGGCTACACAAGTATTTTCATGGGGTGAAGTTGCATACCCTCTTCGGATTCATATATATGACCATGCAAACAGAACTCAATGGGGAGTAAGGGCCAGAGAGAAGCCATGCTATTCCTCAGGCTCACCAGCATGTAGTGGCAAAGTGAAAGCTACACTACCTTAAAGGACAAGGCACATGGTAAGCTTTGGAGATCTAGGCTGAGGTATGGAAGGGTTTGTCTCCACCCTCTTGAACCCTAGAAGTATTGTAGAAGAAAAAACGATTGGCTTTAAGTGTTGCAAAAGAAAGGAAGCATGATGTAGGTATCTGGCTATGATTATCCCAGCGATACATACAGTGCACAAAATCTTTGTAGATACAGGTTTATTCCCTTTAGCACTATAACACCGGCACGCAGCTTAGAAAGCTCCACTAGTGTGGACACACACCAATGGCTTGAAGTTGCATCAAACCAAGTTTTAATTGGGTATCAAGTAAAACTTCTTCACTGTGAGAACCCTGAGGCAGCTGGATAGACTGTCTAGGGAAGCTGCATCCTCTCCGCCATTTTCCCATTTGCTTTGTCTCTGGTCAAGCAATAACTGTTGCCTTGTACTGAGCTACTGAGATTGCTTGTTCACTGAATTCAAAGATAAGAATAGGGACAATGGTATGTGGTTGTTTCTAAGAAACTGCCTTAATATAAACAGAATTTACACTTAGTAAATCCTTGTTAATCTCAGGAAGGGAGTGCAAAAGCCAAGGAAGTGCTTGTTCTTGCTTATTAATTGCTGCTTAGCTTAACCACATGCACAAACCAGGCATTGGTTTTCAAAAGGAAACATGAAGCAAGGCTCCTAGGGTTTTGCTGTTCTCAAAAGATCAATTCATGTGAAATGAGAAGCCAGCGGGATCTTATCATGTAGAATAAAAGACCATATGGCTCCAGATACTGCCCAGAAAACAAAAGGCAGGGATCGTCTCCCTGTAGGCATCCTAATCCTTACCCTTCTCTCATGCCATCCTTCCAGCCAGCCTGAAGGGATAGATTTTCAGAGAGATACATTCCAGTCAATATACAAAATAAGAAATTTATTGGAGGAGCACCCCAGATCCCAAGCCCAGACTCCAGCTCTCGCTTTTATTCCTCTCAATTTTGGAGGTGGTTGGATCTGAGATTTCGGCATAAGCCCTATAACAGCATGACTACATAGGTCAGTTGTAGGCTCCCCACTCCCTCCCTGGATGTTTTTCCCAGCAGGGTTTGGTAGCTGTGCTATCTCCCCAGTTAAGAGATCCACTCCTTGTGGAGCATGAACTGAGTCCAAACAAAGACTAAATCTCCCATCCCAAGCTTGCCAGCATCACCCTTCCTCCTCAAGGATCTGTCTTCTGGTTCAGTACTGTCCATCTCCTGGGCCCAGCCCTACTAGGCCCTAGTAAGTCCCTTCATTTGCTCTTGATTCCTGAGGAGCAGGGGCATAACCAGTCTTTCCATTTTCCCCTTACTATTAAGGCTCACTATATCCCCATACCCCTACCACTAGTAAAAGGGCCTGGAGCCTGCTGAGAATGGTTTGGTCTCCCTGCATGGGACCGGAGTCACAGCAGGGCTGTTTTCTGGCAGTTTAAGGCCCTGTGGCAAGATAGCAGACATTTTCAAGAGGAAGCCTCTTTTCCATGAAGTGTCTGGACTCAGTTGGCAGACACTTATGGAGCCTATCGTGTTTGGGCTAAGGTCTGACCAGCACAGCACTCCTTACTAAGTCATGCTGACATTGTCCCAGGACCAAGTCATCCGCATCAAACTCTGCAGCGACCGGATGGTCTCTTGTGTGAGGATCATCAAGAGCTCTCCAGGAAGCAACACAACAGACCATCCAGTTGCCTCCATAACCTCTCCTCCAATATTTAAAAGATATTTTTTTCCAGAATCTAGTAGAATTATAAATAGGTGAAACCAGAGGAGGAGCTACAGGGTGGGAAAAAATAATCTTACATAGGCTGCAGACCCTGGGCCTGACATATGGCCAAAAATACATGTTTGTGCTTTCTGTGGTTGTCCTTCCTCTACTGGTACTTCAAATAGGAACAAGGTTGTGAACCTACAGCTGTTTGAGAGAGAGCCAAAAGTCATTAGTCACATGTGTTTGGGCAGAATAAATACAACTGTATATACAGAACATCAATGTTGGAAAAAAGAATGTGATGCAGAAATGTTTGTTAGACAGAGCTGCACATGCTCTCTCTGATGCACAGTGGCTGACCTACCTATGGGGGATTTTTCTGTCAAGGTTTTTTGAACATGTTCCCTTGCTTCTTACTCACAGC